GACATTGACAGATATCACTGATGGATGTGGCTATGGCAGGAATTTCAAACTCCCATGGGAAGGCATATCGTTAGAAAATTATGTTTCAATGGCAATCTAACTTTTATTTACAAATTAAAACCTAAAAAAACATGAAGGCTCTGCAGTTAATTTAACTTCAATTTAAGTCCAGTAGGACCCCGCTTACTCGAACTCGGTTCACTCAAACCCACCAGTAACTCGAACAACTCTGATTTCCCTTGACCCATGTTTTTCAGTCAATTACTATTAGCTAACTCACACACTCCCTAACGTGAACCATATTTTGTTCCCTTGCGAGTTTGAGTTAGCAGTGTAAGTCTGTTTATACATGCACCTTCAGATCCTGAGCTGCTGTCTTCTGTTGCAGCCAGTACGTCATGAAATTTAAAGTCTGCTGCGAGAGATTTCTTAGTCCTGGCCCTCTTGTTCTTATTGTTACCAAATTCCTTCCGACTTGGCTTGGGGTAATGCATTTGGAAGCTACTTCCTGGAGCCTTCTTCCTTTCAAAAGTAAAGTTTCCTCTTTCATATTTTACTAACTACGTCCGACCCAAACTTCTGAGAAGAAGTAAACAAAAGCCTCGTTTTGTCCTTGTTATGCTTATAAGTAATAGAAAGTTCCAAATTTAAGATTCCTAACAAAGTGCTGGAGGACAAATTTTAGGTATGTACGAAGCTCTTGGTTTTTTAACTTCAAATGAAAACTCCCAGCCATAATGGCGGCTTGAAAATAAAACCACTTAGTATTAGTTAAAGTACAAAGAAATTGTATGACTTACGGGTGCCACTACGGTATTAACAGTTTATGATAGGGACCTCGATAAATAAAAACAAAAAATAAAAACTGTTTATGCTTCTATTTCTCCGAACACAACAGGGGATAAAACTTACTTATTCAACTTGTAATCTGCACGACAACATATCGGCGATGAAGTTCCTACCCTGTACATAATTTTTTAAGGATGAATCTTTAATGTCGGTCCGATTAAAATAGCCTTCTATCTTGCGAATATCTCAAAATATGACTTAACTGGTAATAGTTCTCGCTAAAAACTGCCCCCAGCATTGTAATATATGCAAAATTTATTTACTGGAGATTTAAACTGCCTTATATTCGTCCAGAAAGGAAACGAAAAAAACACTGTACAATAATGAAACTAAACTAATTAGCAGCACTGCACGCACTATAATAGTAAAAACTGTTTGTATCTAATTCTCCTATGTGATTCGTCGTTTATCATACAATCGAACCTGTATTAAGCGGCGCCGTATTTAGCGGTCAGTTGTCAAAGTCCCGAATTTGTTTCCCCTTAGTCGCTGTAAATTTCACCTCTATTGAGCAGTTTCCTCTAGTAAGCAGGCGTGGTTACCTATGAGCTCGAACGGCCTGTTTGTATCATCTTTCACTTGTGTTGAACGGTCATTTGGGGTAGAACCACACCAAAAAAACTAAGAATAATCTTCGAAGTAAAACTCAATCCATGTAATAGTATTTTTGAGCTTGTGTTATTACATAAGTGGTCAATTATGGCATAAAATGGCATTCTTTTTCCTGTTTTACATTACCGCTCTTCCGTGGGTGCTAACATCCCTGCGTCGTGTTTACACCCCTCTAAAACGAAGAAAAAAAATCAAAGTTGAGAGTAGAAGTTGCTTAGGAAGTTTATGTTACTAAAAACTATAACTTCATATCACAAAGGAACTCACCAGCTGGTCCATATAAATTTCCAATGAGTCTGAGTGATCAGACTTATTTCAGAAACTGCTCGGCGTAATCATATTGCTGAGCCGGCATGGGTAGGCAACTCTTTTAAAAGCATACATAGGTCTTCCATGACGTCACAAATACTTCTCTGTTCACATCTGAGTGCTGCAACAAGGCGACGGAGGCCTTGCTTCTCGACACGAAACTCTACTTTGCATTCGGTGAAGTTCATAGAATCCGGATCGAATTGCTCGTAGTTTCCATGAGGAAATTCTGGATTTTTTGTTTGGAAGGTATCGTACAGCAGTAAAAACTCTATCTGAAACAATGTTATCACCATAAAGAAGTATGAGCAGCTCACGAAATTCTCTAGAAGACATTTGTCCTGTGACTGTAACGAAAGCTGTAGACTCTTTCACGATCCTCGTCCACGTAACCGGTGTGCTTAAGTGTTTGTGTTTCCCGCCGTGGCCGACGGTCCCATCCCAGGCCTTAATCGGTCATTTACGTCGTTGTCCATGTTCTCGTCGTTATTGCTGAAGGTTCCTATTGTTCCAGGTTGTGCACAAGTGAAAATGACTAGATTACCTAGCAACATCTTGCGTGCCTATTGAGAAAATTAACTGGTACCAGCTTGCGCGCCTACTTTGATCAAATCAAAATTTTTCCCCCAATACACCGAATTTGAATTTGCAGTCATATACACGGGGAACTGTATATCATACCTGCTCGGCGGTTTCGGCCTAGGGGGGGAAACACCCCATGCATACCCGCGGCGTTAACCTGAACTGGCATACTCACTCTTGTAATACTAAATGCATCGATGCTTACGAAAAGAGAGAACATATATATTTAAGTAGTACATAGTGATTTCTTCCCGTAAACGTGCTGCTATTGATGTGATTTATTTTGAGAATTTTAATGACTTAGACCATAGATTTGCTTTATCTTAGATCCCTTCTGGTATACTTTGAATTACTTTCATCGCAGGAACGCGTATTAAAACCACTAATTCGAGTGAAATGCAAATTCCCCCTGTGATCACATTTGTGTGAAAGAGTACACGCATTTGCATGTAATGAATGGCAAAGAACGAATTAGAATACACCCATTTGGGCACAAGCGGCTTATTCGAAGGTAAATACAGAGATATTCTTTTATTTTTTTATTTTTTTTTTTTAGACTGGTTATCATTAAATCACATCGCAGTAAAATACTGAATTGGGTAATTATTTACAAGCTATTAATATACAATTATAAATATAATGGCTTAAAGTTCTATTAAAAGGGGTTCTCATTCATCTCAAACTTGAGTTGTTTACAGCCGCACACTTCACGAAAAACTAATCAGCAAAACGCTTTGTCGTGGCTGCTGGTACATTGTACGTTCTTTGGCGCCTGAAATTATAATGAGGGCTGTAGGCTTCAGGAATTAGGTGATGTAGTTTACTGTCCTGATTCTCGCTGATTGATCTAAATAAAGACTTTGTAATGTCTTCGTGGTGTTCCCTGATAGAGGTAAAACAGGCGCGCTCTAACGCTTCCCTCTACGGCATTCTAGGAAAAATACACGCCAGAGCTCTTTTCTGAACACTTTCTAACTCCGACTCTAAATACTGAGGTAGAGAAAAATGGAAAACTGGACAAGCGTAGTCAAGGGAAGATCTAATACATGCACAGTAGTAGGCGACAAGATCTTCGGCTGGAACACGCGCACGTTTAAGTTGCACGAGGAGATAGATTTTCCTAGCATCCCAAAAGTCAAGGTCTCACTTTGCAAAGAGAAAGGACAGGGCTGTCTTTACTCACACTAGATCCTACTGCAGTTCTTCAAGATTGCTTAACTCGATCCGCGGCCGAATTTACTCTGTGCCATGTCCTCAAGCCCTCTGGCTTATAGATGAAAAACAATTCATAAACTCTAAGTCACAAATATACTAAACCTCGAAAATGCCAACAACATACAGTAATAGACACTCTCAAACTTACCTTTGAAGTGCTGTAAAAATCGCAGAATAATTGATGCCACACGCACAAGGCACTCCAAAAGCAAAGGAAACACAATTTGGTTTCGCGCGCCTTTCGGATTTCAGAAGTTCCAGGATGTTGGCCCCAGGCCACGGAGCGAACAGAGATGGAATGATGTCTTCACTGAATATTGCTGAATTGTATGTTTACATGAAATATTCGAATTGAATTTTCGCATTGAATGTCAGGATTGAATGTTTCAATTAAATGCTTGCACTGATTATTTGAATTGAATGTTTATATTTAATGTTTGAATTTAATGTTTGCATTGAATGTTGGAATTGAATGTTTACATGGAAAATCGGAATTGAAACGGAACGTTTGAATTGAATAGTGAATGTCCGACCTGCAAGTGTAATTGATATATTTTAATACCCAGGATGAAAGTTTCGCTAAAGGATGAGAAGGTTGCATTAAAAACCCGCTAATTTGGAGTTAACATTCAAATGTTACTGAAAGGGTTTGATGTTTATAAATAAACGTTAAACCACAGGCAGCCCAAGCTCCAGCTGTGGAATGATCATCTTACGAAATAACAGTCATGGCGAAATTATAAGTTTGTATGGGAATATTTACGACCGCTCTAAGGAATAAAAAAATAAGTCAAATTCTCACAAAAAATACTTCACCTTACTTCCACAGTGCGTTGCTTGTTATCTGACCGCATTCTAAGTTGAAGGAAACCCATTTTGGCGAATCATTTTTTTCCAGGTTTTCTATATATATAAGAAAAACCCTCATGTACTTAGAAAACCTCGAAATATTATTCCTTAGAGCGGTCGAAAATATTCCTATAAAAACTCCTATAATTTCGCCATGACTCTTATTTTGTAAGATGATCATCTCACAGCTGGAGCTTGGGCCGCCTTTGGTTAAACCTGATTAATTGAAAGTTTTAACTGACTATTTGTGTGTTTGGAGCGCATAATTAAATGTTCTAATTGGATTTCAAAAGGCTTTTATGGATGTTTGAATAAGAAGTTGAAAGTCTACAGTTAATATTGCAAAGTACAGGTTAATGTTTGTATCTTCGAATAAAAATTGATCAATTGAACTTTGGTGGTGTTGGAACGCCACAGCTTTTTTAATGGTTTCTTTAAAAGTAGCGCACGTGGGACAATTTTTCCGGAAGGCACTCTATTTTGTTGACAGTAACCCTTAGATAAAGGACATAATTCAATAATATATGCGAGCTTGATTGCAACTGAGATGGCGAGTGGCCTCCCTGACATAAAAACATACTGATATAATTTCATGTTAATTTTCCTTTAAGAACCCTATGCAGAAGTAAGTTGTCGAGGTTAAATCACCACAAATTAAACGTGACAATCATTTTAAAACCCCAAAGAGAAGAGCTTTATTGTTATTATATTCCTAGGTAAAAGGTTGAACACTGTTACAGCGTTGAAGCTGCGCTTGAAGACAAGATCAGATGCAATTATGACCAAAGAATGACCTGGAAATCCCTACGTTAGTCTCGTTATAGGATAAACACTTTGAAAACAGGGAGGGGAGTTGTTTATTGCCAAATAAGTCAAAAAAAGCTCTTCAAAAAAAGCCCAACACCGAAACATCTAGAAGCAAACAAAAGACCACAAAGTAGCATCACTTACTCAGGCAGTTCCATACACTACACTGAGGAACGGGGTCGTTACAGCCCGGCTGAATGAGCGGGAGCTCTCCATAGATAATTTCATACCTATCTCATCATCTCATCTTATACCGAGGCTTCTCACTCAATCAATAAAGATCCCAACACCACAACCTATATCTAAAAGTTAAAATATCGGGAGGAAACTGACTGACTTAAAAACCTACTCTTAAACAAGACAACGACATGAAATTAAAATTCATTTCTGAAAAAAACTACTTAAATGCTAGTTGCCTCAGTCAGATCCTTCTTCTTCCACTCTGAGGAAGCCTAATTGTATTTTGGCATGATGCGCTTTCCATGTGCATCACGGGCAAAGATTGGGCAGGTACCTGGAGGGAATGGCCAAGCTCCAGCCTCCTTCTCAGCCTCCTTGGAGATCTCATGAACCCTCTTCACCAACTTCTCGAATGCAGCTCGACCCTTAGGAGTGCCTATCGTATCTCGCATTTCGGCCAGTTTTCCCACGTACTCACCCATGGTTGTCAGGTTCTTGAAAGGACATCCGTGTTTGAAACCAGGGCAGTTTCCGGTAATTCCTTTCATTTCATCAGCAAGACCTTTATACGGGCACACACCTTTGCCAAAAACTGGGCACTTCTTGACGATCTCTTCAACCGTCAAAGAATATGGATACTGCAGGTTAAAGGGAAGATAGAATTGAACTAGAAACAAGAATATTCACTGGGAAACGGTACACAACAGCTCAACTAAATCAGCCGTAAGCTAATCATAATTTTCTTCATTTCAGGCAATAGATTCTGTAGAACGATTCGTGTTTCGAGATTTGCTCTGAAAGTGGGAAAAACATTATTGACAGTGACAATTGTTTGGCATTGCCTACAAAAACTAGGGAAAGAAAAGAAATTCCTGCATCTAAGCTATACGTTAGAAAGCTCTTTTTCGATGGTTTCTATCAATAGTTTCATGCTGAAACCGAAATTACCTACCACAGTGTATGCAGGTTTCAAAATCTCCATTCCTGCAGTGTCTTTGGCAAATGGGCAGCCACCCTTGAAGAAGCTTGGAGGGGAGACAGTTCCGTACTCTACGTTTTTTTCCTTACTAAGAAAGACGACATCCTTTAAAAACTCGATCCATTGAGCTTCGCCTTTGCACTGGTCACGCATCTGACCCATCATGTCTTGAAGCTCACCCACGGTCTTGCATTGTTTGAAAGGGCAGCCATTGTTGAAAGGAGGACATTTGGCACAGATGCCTTTCTTTTCTTGGGCAAGCTTGGCATATGGGCAGCCACCACCGAGAAATGCTGGGCAGTTCTTCGATATGTAATCTACGGTAACGTCTGACTTCTAAAAGGTTGAAAGATAAACGGAAAATCTAAGGCTCAACGATTCCTCTTTTATGACAGCCAGAATCCAAAACATTTACCATTTGGGGCCATACATTTAGCACATCATAGCTGTTAGACCAATATATTTGTGGGGTTAGCGAGAAAACGATTGACCCAAAGCATTTACAAAATCATGCTTACAAAGCGACCGAGAACCTATAAATACGTTGTGTCTACGTTACGTAAGAGCGATAGATTACATAACAATTGTTCCTTCTGGGCTTATGACTGAGCAAGACGAAAGACGAAACTGGCGACAAATCAAGATATTGTTTGTGTAGGTAATCACATGATTTCGAGTAATAATTTGGAATAAATAAGCAGGAGTAAATTTATTCAAACCGTGCATTCGGTCAAAACAACCGCGTACGATCAAAACAATAATATGCAATGATATCTTCACATCTTTAAGGCGCAAAAAAGTTCAAAGTCGGGTTAAACAGTTCAAGGAATTGTTCAGTCTGTGTCCGAATCACTTTCGATGAAATGGAATCGTCGTTTCCGAGGTTTAACCATGTTTGTTTTTAATTTCGGCGTTGGATCGCTCGAGCAAAGTGTTAAGCTGGGTCGGCTCGTAATTTTCGATTTCCTTGGCAATTCCCTTCTCTAAACACCACTTTTTCTAAACCGACAACCAAAACGGAATAGTTTAGGTTTTCCTCATTTTGCACTCCATCAGTTGATATAAAATTTGATTCATTAACAGGGAGAAAACATTCCTTTCATAAACTTAGCTTTTTTTCGCTTTTGTTAGTCGTCCCAAGAACTCATTCTCAATGTGATTAATGCTTTTTTTCTATCCTACGAAAACCATGCAATGGATGACAGTAATAATAACATCATCATTCGTCAGTCTCTTTTAGGATACTTAGCATCAGAGGCGACATGCACTGGTAATATTTCCTCAGGATAAAATAGTTTTAAAAAACTTTAATATTCTAATTAGAAAAGACAGTATTTAGGGAGTGTCACACAGTTTGAACATCAAATGCTATAGCTTTAGCTCCTCAGTAATAAAATCTTTAGACAGTATTTAATCGAACCCCTTGGTTAACCTCAGGACTGAGTCACTTACTGGCTTAGATGACGCCATGTAGAGCTCGCAGGAAGACTTTCTTGCAAAAAGAATTCAAAGTCTCGTAAGCTGTAGTAGTTCACACTGTTACTGACTAGCTCAACTGATTTGCTGGGGTTGGGTGTATCAATTCAAAAGCAAAACGGAGGCAAACAACAATGGATGATTGACGCATCAAAACAGGTTATTCTCGATCAAACAGGTTTTCCAACACGTGGTGCAATGCATCATTCAGTTCAAAAAACGTGATAATACCTTACCAACACCTGCAAATTTGTTATCAAAGTTTCTGATAATTTGTATCAATAAAAGGACCGTCCAAATCTTGCAAAAAAACTCTTTTTTTGACAAATCAAATAACTGACTCATCATAAGAATAGATATATATTTGTCGACCACTATAAAAGGCACCACCAGATTATCGATGTGATTCAAAAAGAACTTTTCAATGCGCCTGCACCAGTTTTAACAAGTGTTCAAATCCAGTCTTAGTTGTGGAGTAAGCGAGAAAACGATTGACCCAAAGCATTTACAAAATCATGCTTACAAAGCGACCGAGAACTTATAAATACGTTGTGTCTATGTTACTTAAGAGCGATAGATTACATAACAATTGTTCCTTCTGGGGACTGAGCAAGACGAAAGACGAAACTGGCGACAAATCAAGATATTGTTTGTGTAGGTAATCACATGATTTCGAGTAATAATTTGGAATAAATAAGCAGGAGTAAATTTATTCAAACCGTGCATTCGGTCAAAACAACCGCGTACGATCAAAACAATAATATGCAATGATATCTTCACATCTTTAATGCGTAAAAAAGTTCAAATTCCGGCTAAACAGTTCAAGGAATTGTTCAGTCTGTGTCCGAATTGCTTTCGATGAAATGGAATCGTCGTTTCCGAGGTTTAACCATGTTTGTTTTTAATTTCGGCGTTGGATCGCTCGAGCAAAGTGTTAAGCTGGGTCGGCTCGTAATTTTCGATTTCCTTGGCAATTCAATGGATTCAGCTTTGCCGTTACGAGCTAGGGCTTAAAAAAAGTTTGGGTAGGACATTTTGATAGACATTTGAACTGTACAAGAAATAAGCTGCCTTTTCTGCATCACCTGATCTCGCATTCCTGGTTTTCGCATCAATTTTTTCCCCAAACCGCGAAAGGCGCGAAATTTGGCAGTCGCGAAGATTTTAAATTCGAAGTTAACTGCATAACCGTGTACGAAACGAAATACCACAAAGGCTGTTTCTATATGTGGCATTTAGACAACAAAGAAACAGTGTGCCATCGTCCCTCGATAATGATGATGTTAGAAACGACGAAACTTTTGACGTAATTGGCTACGATATATTGCTGATAAAGCTCTCAATGGACGTTTAATTGTTGTGAAGAAAAAAACTTTAGCCATACACAGACAAGCATCGGCGGTCATGTGGTCACAAATTCAAATTCCTTACCTACTCAATCCCATAGAGTCCATAGAGTCCAGTAGCTCAATAATCCTAAGTTTCTTGGTTTGATTGTTTTTTGTTTTTCGTCTGTCCTTTTTGGTGTAATCACTTCAATATAAACTTCCTTTGGCAAATCCTGCTTTCTACGAAACACGTGTAATGATGCAACCTTGAGTATTTTTGTGAAAGGTTCAAAACAGTAGCTATACGGAGACAAGTATCGGCGGTCATGTGATCGCAAATTCGCGACAAGTTACGAATCAACAGGCAGTTTATTTATAAAAATGAAAAACTAAAACGATTAACGATAGCAATTTCATCTCATAAATACGTTGTGCCTGTATTACGTAAGAGCGATAGATTGCATAACAATCATGCGATCATAACAGTCATAACAATTCCTTTTGTGCAGATGACTGAGCGAGACGAAAGACGAAACTGGCGACACATCAAGATATTATTTTATGCTATAAAGACAATCTCTTGCCAGATAGAAACTGTGGGCTTGCAAACGTTCTATGGCTACAATTTGAACGACTTTATCATTTTTTTTAACCTGAGGCATATCTTACATTCCATTACTGATAGTTCTAATGAAATCAAGATCAAGCACGACACTTAAATCTACTGTTTCTTGAGGCCTTGCGAGAGAACGGACTAGCTTAGGTTTTCCTCATTTTGCACTCCATTAGTTGATATAAAATTTGATTCATTAATAGGGAGAAAACATTGCCCTCATGAACCTAGCTTTTTTCGCTTTTTGTTTAATGGTCCGGAAAGCTCATTCTTAATGTGATTACTGCTGTTTTTTTCCTATCCTACGAAAACCATGCAATGAACGACAGTAATAATAACATCATCATTCGTCAGTCTCTTTTAGGATACTTAGCATCAGAGGCGACATGCACTGGTAATATTTCCTCAGGATAAAAGAGTTTTAAAAAACTGCAATATTCTAATTAGAAAAGATAGTATTTAGGGAGTGTCACACAGTTTGAACATCAAATGCTATAGCTTT